TCCAAAAAAAAAATGGAAAAAAAAAAAAAAAAAAAAAAAAAAGATTTAAAGAATCTATATACTATGATACCATTTTTATAAAGCCTGAAACATGCAAATCAATATCTTGTTTATGGAGACACACGTATCTAATAAAAGTATAAAAAAGATGTATGGGAACAATAAAAGCTAACCCAGGAAAGTGTTTACCTTTGGAGAGAAAGGAAGGAGAACGGGATAGGCAGGAACATATAGGGGCCTCAAATGAATCTATAACGCTTTATTTCTTCCAGAAAATCTGAAGCACATTTAACATAATGTTAAGATTTTCAGTGGAGGTAAGGAACACGGAAGGAGAATGTCAACAGACTATGTAGGAGGTTTAAGTTACTAGGATGAGTGAGTCTGAGAACAAAACAGCAGTGCTTGCATCAGTTTATGAGCATTGTATAAATTCAAAGCTGGCTACCCATATTGAAAGTCAAAAGGGCCCTGGCTCCTGCTTCAGACTCTAAGCATCTTTAGCTGTAATTTTTTGAGGAAATACTGTGGAAAACTAGGAGAATACAAAAGCATGAGATGTGATGAATATACCTAAGATAGTGTGATGATTTGGGGGGACTAAAGCAAGCCAAAAAAAAAAGCATCAAAAGTTTAGAGTTTGAGTTAATTACAAAAGCAAGTGTTGTGCCCAATTTGGAAACAAGAAATTTTTTCAGTGAGCTGATGGTAATAAACAAGTTTTTTCTGATCCAAGACTAGCTAAATGAATATAAGGCATATCATTATAAACGTTGGACTGTTGATATGCTTATAGTTGCATAAATCCAAGCTGTATTTTATGAAGCCAATACAAGAGCTTGCAGGAGGCCAAGAGAAAAAAAATCAACGACCTTGGCCAGTGTCAGAAGGTACATTGGAGATTCTAATGCAGTTTGCTGTCTCTGTCTGTCTCTGGTCTTTCTTCATCTCTTTTCTCTTTGGCATATCTTTGATCCAGACTGAAAAATCAGAGAATGCATAAATTGGAGCTGGTAAAGAGTAGAGAGCGGGACAGAGAAAAGCACTTTCATTTCTATTTTGTCATTTTAAAAAATAAAGAAGAGTAGTCCACTTAGAGTGAGATATATTTAAAATATATATTTAAAATATGGATATAAAATATAAAACTATTAGTTTTTTAAAAAACAACATGTGCTTTGCAAATTACCTAAGAAATTTATGAATTCATTTTTGTTTTATAAGATTTATGCAATAGGTAGTAAAAGAATTGGATCTCTCTTGGTTCCCCATTACTCCTTTACTTCAAATCTCTTTCCCAGACATAACCACCTGTCCACAACTGGTGTACAGTCTTCCAGGCCCTTTTCTATGGACTTTCATATAAAAATTTATCTACTCATAACTGGGATAATGTACTTTTCTGTAACATGTTACTTCTATTTAGCATCTTTTAGGGAGCTTTGCATTTCAGTGCATCTAGATAACCTAGTTCTTTTGAAAAATAGCTACATGCTATTCCTTAGTGTGGTTAACCCATTATTAATCCTTCCACTGTTCATGGCCCACTGCAAAGTTTCCAGTTTTTCACTATTTCAAACAATTCTGCAGTGAATGTTCCAGTACATCCATCATTGCAGAAGAGGGCAAATGTGACAGGATCTGGGAATTCCAATAATATTGTCAGTAAATCTGCTTTTTCTGTATTTAGACTTGTTTTTCCCTTGATTGGCCTCATTTTCAGAAAACGTGACCTCATGTGGTAGCAAATATGACAACCAGCAGTTTCAGCTTTACATTCTACAAACTTAACTTGTTTCCCTATATCAGCAAAAGTGAGAGGTTGGCTCTCACTGGACCAGCTTGTGTCACATGCCCATCCTTGACTCTAGCTCTGCAGATAGTATACATTGATTTTATGTTTTTGCAATAGAATATAAATAGACAGCATAGATCTGGTATCCAGATTTTTGTCATAGGGATTAAGGTATTCTAAGTTTCTTTCTAAATCTTTGCTAGAGTAATGAAACAAATATTTTGCCTCTATATAATATTGTATATGAAAATGAAGCATGTTGTAGATTGAGGATCATTAATATTCTGAAAAAGGGACAATTCTTCAGGTCAGGAAAGCAATATATCTGCTAAAAATTCAGTGATGTGATAAGCACATTTCTTCATATTCTATTATTTGTCAAACCATAACAAAAATTCTATGTTTTATTTGTTTATTAAACAATGTTTATTAAATTCTGCTATGTCTTGGTCACCATGCCAGTGGCTGTGGATAAAATATTGAATACAACAAGATCCTTGCCCTCAGGTTACTTACATTCTTGTTAGGGGCCACACACCATAAATAGGCAAAAATGAATAAAGGAGAATATTTCAGATTGCAGAGTATTATGAAGAAAATAAAAAAGACAAACAAATGAAAAGTAGTTGGAGAAGGTCATTCCAGGAAAAGTGGTCAGGGGAGACCTTTCTGGAGGGAGAATATTTGATTACAACCTGAAGATTGAGAATGAACCTCAGTTTCAGACCTAGGCTATCCAAGATGGTAGCCACTGGCCATGGGTGGCTTTTGAGCACTTGAATGTAGCTACTTCACATGGAAATGTACTATAAGTGTAAAATACACATCAGATCTCCAAGACTTCTTCAAAAATTATAAAATATTTCATTAATTTTATATTGATTACAGGTTAAAATTATAATCCTTTAGATATATTGGGGTAAACATTATTAAAATTAACTTTACATTTCTTTTTTACTTTTTTAATGTGTCTTAATTAAGTGTTTTAAATTACATATGTGGCTTATCTTATATTTCTACTTAACAGTCCTGTTCTAGATAGTTTTAGCCTATTTGCTATTATTAACATAGCCTTTTTCAGCCTTTTTTCCTTGATGTTGGTGATAGAGATTGAATTATATCATAGACTTTTCTCCAAGGATCTAAGCCTGTAATATTTATTGACTGAGGTGTTCAAATGTAATAATTCAATGTGTGATCAAGCTTAATACAGCTCAGAGTTAAGGGGTAACGAGTGGTGGAGAATGCACACAAAATTGCCACATTTACTAGGGGAGTTGTGTCATTAGTCATGTTCCTTTAGAAATGTTCACAGAACAGATTAAGGAGGACTCTGAATATGGAGAGGCAGGCAGAGCTAGCATCGCAAGGTAATGACAGCGTGGGACAGGATTTCTGTCGGAAAGAGCAACAGCAACAGCAAACCGCAAAGATCTATTTCCATTCTCAGTGAAGGAGATTCTATTGTATTGTATAGAATTGCCACTTCTTGCATATTAAGATAGACTTTTATTCTACCCGTTGTTTTATACCGATGGCAACGTTAGTGACTTTAGTGTGCCTTTCTTTGAATATGTCTATCAGGGAGATGTTGGCAAGTTCACACACCTGTAATAACATGCAATTAATTCACTGCAGTGAGCAAGCAAAATAGTTTTCTTTGTGTGGTGTTATTATTCTCATTTGTCCTGGTGGCTTGTGCCACAGGGAAGAGGTTGACTACTAAAAATGTGTGTTTGATTTAGCAGGTGAAGTTTTTAATATTTAGTTTGTAAGCATTTTAGGACCCCAAATATGATGTTTGTTATATAATCAGTACTAATACTTTTGCAAGGGGAAATTGTACCCTTACTGGTTTGAGAGTTGAGTCATATCCTGTGAGTCTGAAGCAACGGTATTTAAACATCACGGGTTCCTCTCACTGTCACTCGAAGTCGCAGCACTTCAGAGCAGCAAGTGCTCTGTGCGTGCAAAGAGGCTGTTGCTATCTTTTGGAGGTGAACAGCCTCTCTTGCCGGGATTCAGTGAAGAAAGCCAACTCTGGATATGCAGTTCTCTCACTAGAGTGAAAGATGTTTTGTTCATTTCTAATCAACTATGCTAGATAGCTGCAAGCTGAAAAGTGCCTGCAATTTGCCATTTTTTTGTAATAAGGTAAGTACCATGTTTTGGTTTACTCATTGGATTTTGGCAGCCTTAAATTACTGTGGCAGTTTTAGTAAATGATCATGCCTCAGAAAATACCTTCTCACAGGGTATCGAAGGTGGCGTTTGAGATTCTAATGCAAGTAATTTTAAACTTATAGTACAATCCATTTGTGAGATAGTTAGTTTAATAGATTGATATTCTTTTTAATGATAATTTTTAATAAAAAATAGAGTGCCTGAGAAATGGAAACATTGTAGTAGCATTATATTGGTTTAGTTTTTTTAAGGATTAAGTAGTACCAGGGTCTTAATTTTCTTTTTCTTTTTGCTAATCTATGATCTTGGTTAAAGATGAAATATACATAAGATTCATATGATTTTGTTTGAATTTTATTCTAAATAATTATAGTTCAGTAACTATATTTCTTCATTAAGCTGAAAAGTGGTCTTCCTAATTATTAGAAACTTTGAAGTGGAAAAGTAGTGAAAGACTTTTGCCCTTTCATATTTGGCTTTCTTTTTAAGTGAGAGGCCATCTAAGCTGAAAAGTGGTCTTCCTAATTATTAGAAACTTTGAAGTGGAAAAGTAGTGAAAGACTGTTGCCCTTTCATATTTGGCTTTCTTTTTAAGTGAGAGGCCATCATATTTATAAACTTCTGATTGATCTGTTTGTTTGAGAATGTGTATAGCTTGTTTATCACAGCCTACTTTCTCAGTTGCTGTTGGAGGCACTCATATACATATTGTGTGGACAGAGAAATCTGTGGATAGACAGTAAATGAGAGATGTTTTTCAAATTCTTTAAATTTGTTACTCAAAGTTTGGGTGAAAGACAGGAATGTTGTTTTGGCTTTTTATTAATTAAAGAAATAACATTCTGTGACATCAGGCGGTATCTGGTGTCACATAACTTTGGACAATCATATTTAAGGCCTTTAAATTTCTTTAAGTTAGATAAGATTAATTTGATTTGGGGAGCTGTAGCTGTGATTTGTAAGATATTAATGAACTTAAAGATTTTTAAAAATGTGTCTAATAACAGTTGGCATTATTAATACTTTCTCTCTTCTTAATTGATTTTCTATTATGCTTAGGGATTGTTACATTTATATTCAAAATTATACCCACCACAAAATTGCTAGATTCTAACTAAAACATGGAAATTGCTTTTCATGAGATATATATTTAGTAATTTATGTTTTTGCAAAGTCCAAAGGGCAAATGAGCTGATGGAAGTTATGTGGGTTTCCTCTTCTTTGGAGGGGAAATTACAATTATTTCAACTTCCAAACATCCTTAAAAGCAGTAATGGAAAAAGGAAAGCTTTAGAGCAAATGACTTAGTGCTATAAGAGCCTTTGGGACCTTGAATAGTGAAAAAGTACATATCTCAAATGATTATAATATAAGATAGTATAAGTGGAATATTCTGGTGCTAGTTTACACATTGAACTCTGCCTTTTTGCCTGGGAAGAGAGAGAGAGTTATTCTGATTAGTTATAAGTATTCTGCTTGAGAATTTTTCTTTATTCTATATGGGAATTATTAAACTTCAATAGAAAGAATAGAATGGAATATACCTACATCAAGACAAAAGCATTTCTCATTGTACTTTGCATTGTTTCAGAGTCTTAATTATGGATTACAGTGGCCATACAAACTGTTGTTATGAATAGCAACTCAGACTGATGAAATATTATCACATCAAGTTTTTATAATGTTTTTTTCAAACAGGAACTTAAATATTTATGACAATTTACATCCAACTGATAATTACCCAATTAGATTATTGAGGCATCTTGTTTCTCTTCCTTCCTTTCTGTTGCCCCGTCCTTTGACCGTTTTCCTGCTTCTCTGCACTTCTAGAAGGTGTGGGTAATGGGAGGGGTGGGAGAAGGAAGGGGACAGAGAAAGAATGTGAGAAAACTCTTATTATAGTGTCATGTTTCTATTTCTCTCCTCTTATACTGGTTTTGATGAGAACTTCAGTCAGAAAAAAGTTAGATATAATGGCTAACATGAGTCCTTTAGATACCTTGTGAATTTTAATGGTCAGGAAATTCCTTGACCTCTGAGATAAACAATATCTGGGAACGTGGTTGGGACAGACTTTTCAGGCCTTACCTACCACACAGGATTGTTGCAAAGATGAAATAAAATGCATCTTTTGTTGTGTTTTATTAACTGTAAAGTGTTAGGCATATTCTTGAGAAATTGTTTTTGTGTGTTTCTGAAGTAAAGGAACTGAAAGACACCATAGAGACTGGGAATTCCACTCAGGATTTAGTGTATTTCTTTTTAGTAATGACGGTCTCATTTTCCTCCTCTTCATCAACTATTTTTTCTTATGCATTTCCAATTTATATAAAAATATTTTGCAAAGATAAGCTCCAAAAATAAAAAATAAAAACACAATTTTACCTAAGCCCCAGTACTTTTAAAAATTTCAAACAGCTCAAGGAAACTCACTCTCACTCAAAAGATATTTCTTGAGTAACAATTTACTGTTATTTTCAAGCTGAAATCAACATACGATTTGTCTCAATTGGGGACTGTATCGTCAGAAGCACAAAGCATGACATTATTTCATCCTTTTAAACATTCTTTTATTTCAAGTAAGCTTTGAAGGGTTCATGATGAGAATCAGAGTATAGGGAGAAATTTTTTATAAAATGCTCCTTCTGACTCCTGAGAACTAAATTTTTCTAGGTGGTGCTTTAAATCTTATTATCTCTAGTGAATTTTGCTGGATATCAAAAGCAGCACACTCCTTGGGAAAAATGAGTAGTAATAACTGCCCTATCTAACTCTGAAAATCAGTTTTGAAGATCAAATGAGACTGTTGATGTGAGGGTTCTTTGTGAACTCCATAGTGCTCTCAAAGATCATTATCACAGGGTAAGATATTCACAATTATATATTTGGAAGGGAACTTAGATGTCATCTCAAATCTCATTTCACAAAGTGGGGAATTAAGGTCCTACATCCACTCAGCAAGTATCTGAGTAAAGACCTAAATCTGAGTCTTTTTGCATGCCTAGTTAGCTAGAAATTGGTCAGAAGACTAGCTGTTTCTTGTGTAGTACTGTTGAGGAGATTTTTGTTTTGTTTTACTAATAAATAATGTTTTCCAAGTGATGATGAACATATTTACAGGGAGCTATATTCTTTGTAGAGTGTTTCACAGATGACATATTGCCAGTTTAATGCACTGAGGATTGTTTTGTCTGGTTTGATAGAATGTGGATTTGTGGGGTGATTATCAAAATGTAACATCAGACTTTAACAATTTCTTAGCTATTGACACAGTAGACGAGTCCAAGTCCTTACTCTGGGGAAATGAGCCGTAAAAGTAAATGTGCTTAGTGCATAGGGATAGATTTTGTAGCTTTTAAAATTGTAAATGGTATGGTAGGTTGTTTTGATATATTTGTTGAAACAGGTTAGCAAAACGAGACTCTCCAAAAGGTTACCTTATACAGAGATAGGGAAAATTTAAACAACCAATGAACTACCAACCATTTTTGTTAGAATTGATCTGGCTATTTTATATGTTTAGAACTTTCTTTCAGGATGATCAGAAGAGAAAAACATGACTTTTCACAATTATAGAAGTTAATGGCATATGTCCTACTATACTAATGAACACAATATGTTTAAAAAGAAAATTTGGTTTTAAAACCTCTCAACACTAAGATTAGAAGATGAATTAATTAAAATTTCACTTGTGTTGGTGGTATTTAAAAAGGTGAAGAGGGAGGGAGGTTTAGGTAATGGGCCACAATAATCAACCACATTGTATATTGACAAAATAAAATAAAATAAAATAATTTAATTAATTAATTTTAAAAGGTTATTCTTTACTTCTAATAATTCAAAACACAATCACTGTTTTTTAAAATAAATAAATGTGAAAACAAAAAGCCTATGCTATCTTCATAACCTGTGTTGCAACTTATAGCTTCAAGAGATAAGTGGAATTTATCATTATGCTATCTTATGAATAAATTCTAGCCATGCTTTGTAGTAAAGTTCATGCTTGCTTTGATTCCAAGAACTATATGAACCTCCTGTATAACCATTAGGAAATAAAGGAAAACGGATGAGATAAATAGGTATGGATCTTTTTTAAAATTGCTAAATATAAATGCAATGGGATAATGTGTGGTCCAAGGGACTAAATCATGGGCTGTAGGAGAGTGATGGGAAGAATCAATACCTCTTTGTAGTACTGGCCCACTCCCCTCAGTTTGGAGGTGACAGTGAAGCCCTTGTCTCCTTTCGATTTTGTTTTGCTATCTACAAAGCTGGGAAAACACTGTAATGCCAGGTAACAGTCTCATCTGTCCCATTGGTGCTTGGTAAATATTGATTAGTAATCATGTGAGCATGAAGTGGCTGAAGCACTTTAAAATCAGTAGAAGAGTCTATATATATATTATTGTTATAAGTTCTGAGGTTCGTAATGAATATCCCCTTGAGATAATCCCAAGTAAGAAAGCTTTGGAGATGATTTGTTGGGTCTTAATTCCATCTTTACTTAGTAAAGATACTCAAATTAGTCACTTGGTCTCCCTTTGCTTGAGTCATTTCACTAGTGGGATGGGATTAGTAATATTTATTCATGGCAATTTACGGCATACCCAAATATAACAAATAAAGTTCCAAATCCCTCACTCTACAAGGGTTTCTCTCCAAGTTGAAAATAATACTAATGTCTAGCAATCAAGCAATATATTAACTTTTTATGAACTATCTAATTTATTTTCTTACAAAAGTCTTTTGAGATTTGAGCACTATAATTATTATTCCCTTTTTAAAGATGGAGAAACTGAAATATAAAGAAATTAAGTGACTTGTCTCTGACATCCCACGAATGTAGTAGAAGGAACAGAACTGAACGTAGGAGTCAGGCTGCAGAGCCAAGATACTTAACTGCATTCCATGCTGCCTCCTGCAGCATCCCTTGATCTTAGTATTTTGAAATGACTGCTATAAAGTGCTAC